CAAGGAATGGCCTTTTGACCCTTAGATAAACCCTAACACCCTAAACCCTAAAACCCTCAGCACTAAACCCTTGGATCCAAGCCCAAGGGCTCAAAACCCTTTGGCACCCGAAGCCCTAAGCCCGCAAAACCCGAATCCTAAACAACACCCATAGTAGGGCTTAGGGCTTAGGGTTTAGGTTCAGGGTTTAGGGTTTAGGGTTTAGGGTTTAGGATTTAGGGTTTAGGGTTGAGGGATTCCTGCAGGTAGCATCGCACCAGACTTCTTGGGACTGGAGCTTCGGGCTTTTTAGTCTTAACACTTAGCAGCTGAATCTAAGATAGTATGGGTTTAGGGTTTAGGGGTTTAGGGTTTAGGGCTTAGGGTCTAGGCGGAGGTTTAGGGTTTTTGGGGTGTGGGTTCTGGGTTTAGGGTTTAGGGTTTAGGGTTTAGGGTTTAGGGTTTAGGGGTGTGGGTTCTGGGGTTTAGACCTCAAGGCGTTATTACCGTGCTCACCTTTTGCAGCATGCCGGCCATGCAGCAAGTGCCTTGCCTAAGTACTACGAGCTCATATCTCGGAGCTTGGGGCAACTGGTGCCGCCCTGGCTCTATCCCGTGTCCTGTGCTGCCAGCTCTTCCATCTCCGACACACCTGCCAAAAAGAGGCTGACCTTCACCCCGATCTGAGGCCACTTTTTGATCAAGTCAACATAAGCCGGCAGTGAGAGCACCTGACTTGCATGGTTTTCGATGAAGGAGAGGCAGGCCTTTTCCAGCTGCTTCGCCTGGAGGAGATGTGCCTGGACGAGGATGCTGCAGACCTTTGATGCATTGATTTCATCGGAAAGCTTTGCTTGGCACCATAGCTGAAGCCGTTTCACTTGATACTTGTGGCTCACAGCCAAGAGTACCTGAATCTGTGACAGCTGCGGGTCACAGCTCTCCTTCTCGGATTCGCTTGAGGTTGAAGCCAGAATCGGCGCCTGGGCGTCCGGCAAACGATCGGTGTACAGAAACTGCAGAAAGGCCTTGAATGTGATGACATCACAATCCTCGATGACGATGACCTTCGAGATGCTCTCCTGCAGGCCTGCAGTCAGCTGCTTGCTGAAGACCTCGGATCGTGCACGGAGAACCTGCGAGTGAGCTTGGATCACCTCCTCTTGCACCATGAACTGCACATCGCTGCAATTGCCTTCCTCCAAGAGCGCGCGCATGTCTTCGGCCATCGTGGGCTCGGGAACCTCTGCGGCGGGGGTCGAGGATTCCGAATCTGGCTCTTCTTCAGGACGGACTTCAAGCTCGAACTTCACGGTCAATGTGTCGTCCATCACCCACTGGGACTGCAGCAGCTGCTCGTAGCTCAACCCGAAGATGCCCAGCGAAGCAGGAGGTTCATCATCCGGCCAATGCACATCAGGGCCGAATGCAACAGGCCCATGTGTGCCATCGTCAGTGCCATAGTGGATGACATTTCGGGTCTCGTCCCACTGCACGAACTCGCCATCCTGTTCCTTGACAAAGATGCGATAGCGAAGCACGAAGGTGCTAAAAGTATCCACCACTATTCCAAGAGACCCATGTGGCCCAGCATTATCATCTTTATCTTCTTCTCCTTCTTCTTCAGACGCAGAATAATAATCTCCCCAGAACATCCTGCTAGCCACTGGGTTGAATGCAAACTGGAAGGAAACGTCGCCCAGCTCGAAGATCGGCGACATTCGGACATCTGCTGATCCAGCACCATTTTCAACCAGGAAAACCCAGTGATCCTCCACACGTACTGGCCCCTGACGACCGTCTCTGCACAGTCGGTGCTTGCTGCACCACTCCCCTGCATCACTGGGTGGAGGAGACGTTTCGGTCGAAACCTTCCTGCAATATCCTTATCAATGCACTCTCGGAGTGTAACCTTAGCTTCATTGCGTTGCTGTGCATTGATGTGCCGCTCTCTCGTTCTTTCCAGCTCTCGCCGCAGCGCCTGCTGCTCCTCGGCTCGCTCGACGTCGGCTACGAGCTCTTGGAGCTTGGCCTCCTCTGCTTCGGCCTCTCGCCGGGTGGCCTCGATCTGGGCCCGCAGCTCGTCGGCAGACATCCCGGCCATGGTGCGGCTGGTGCTCAAGAGGCCCCACTCCTCGCCCTCAGACTGGTATAGCTCTGGAGCTGCGGCAAGATAAATTGCTGCTACTGACGGCGGTGGTGGTAGTGGTGGTAGCAGTAGCAGTAGCAGTAGCGGTACTAGTCGCAGTAGTAGTCGTAGTAGTAGGAGTAGCAATAGCAGAAGCAGTAGCAG